GTAGTGAGTCTAAGTGAGCCTAACTTAGTGTCTAAATGATGTCCTTTACGCCCATTCTTCTTTAAGCATCACTTATCACTTTCCAATGGACTCGATAGGTTTTCAAAAGAGGTTAGATGACCTAGTTAGTCTTGTAGGCTCTCTAACTAAAACCACAAAGGAGGAACATGTTGACTTTCCCCACTCTAGGTACATATCCCATTCGCTCAGTCATGCTAGTCGGAAGATGCCCCTTTCTGCTTATCAACCTAGACCTGAGACTAATCCTCAACGACCTCACTTAGAGTCACCTTATCGTTTACCCACCCACCTTTGATGGTTCTTCGGACCCTTACTACTTTAGGGAATGGGTTAGACGATTAGAGGACTATTTCGAAACACGACATATCTCCGAGTCCCACCAGATTAGCATCGCTAAGTCTCACCTTAAAGATCGAGCTCTTCAATTTTGGATGAGATTGGAAGATCATAGAGTGTCTCGCGGTGAGTACCTTACTTGGAAAGACATGAGACGAGAACTTAATTTGAAATACCAACCCCTACTAGTGACTGTCGTCTAGAGCATCACCCTACCTCTTTTGTTGGGACAAACCATGGAAATCACTATAGTCGAAACCAACCTTCATTTAATAACATCAGGGTTGCTGCCCCACCCTGTAGGTCTTCACCTAACCCTAATGGCCGATCCTCTATTGGGTAGTCTGATAGATTAACCTATTATGACTCCCCACTGAGACCCACTTCTAGCAATCCCAATCAACCTTTAGCCTCCCCAGTCCCTGACCCTACGAGTGTAAATTTAATAGAGAAAGGCATTAAGAAGAAGAGGTCCCCTGAACCTGAGACTGAGTGCATCCATTTCGTGGATGCTAATGATATCACTAATAACGAAGAATTCTTTGAGGATGAGATGGAAGTGATTACATTAGACTCCCTACATGATGTAAATCCCAAGTTAGGAGATCTAGAATCCTCAAACCTTGATATCCTAGTCCATCATGATCCTAATCTCATAATGGATATCCCTTTGGATAAGGTCTGTCGGGAAGATATTAATTTGATCTCGAACGACACTGATCTGACCTTGAACCCTGTGGAATTGAATTTGGAAGATCCTGATTTAGTTGTAACACCTACTGAGATGACTCCGGATAATTTTGATAATTCTGATTTAATTTTGGATAATTCTAATTTAGTTTTGGATAATTCTGATTTAATTCTGGATAATTCTGATGGCGACTTAGATAATATCGAGTTGGAAGTAAGTCAATCAAATTTATCACCTGATATATGTGTAACGGAACCCATGGATCTTAGGGTTGCAACCAAACCTGAGTCTCTTTCGGAAGATAGTACTTTGAGTCTGAAAGTTTTTGAGCCTGATTTGAGCACTGAGCCCCCTCTTGTTCCATTAGAGTCTAACTTTAGAGCTGCTCTATTAGATTTATATTTGGCCAAGTGTGACATTCCTGATTCATACCTTTTGCCCGTTATAGCCTCGTCCTACCAGGATAAGGACCACTTCTATCCTAGTCGGATGAATTTGTTCGATTACACTACCCCCACTAGGAGACTGTTGTCGACCCTTACTAAAACCCCCTATAGAAGTGCCCTGGTAGCTAAGAGTGTTTTCATTTCTCCCCCGACACCAGTTCCCTTAGGCCAAACACTTTAAAACCCCTCTTTTTGTGACTCGTCCACTTTTCTAGCTATGTGTTCGTGTGAGTTAGTATGTTGTTGTGCGTGTGTTTTGTAGTCCGTTGTCTTTTAAATTTTTCTTTGTTTAAAGTTTGTGTGTGAATCCATATTTCATTCATATTGCATATCAAGTATCGTGTACCACCTCATGTTCATCTTGTTGAGTCTTGAATTTTGGACACATGAATTCGCATATCACATGTCGCATTTACAATACATCTACATGACTTTCTTAAGAAAATTGCACGCCTAATTGAATAGAGCAATAATAAGTATAAACTTTATGCTGATTCTAAATGACAAGTTAAATCTATTAAAGTTGTAACTCAGTAATGGTGCGGATTCGTCCGGAAAATTACATGCATAGAAGTGCAGATTATTTAGATTAGTCAATAAAATCAAGAACAACGCTTGCGTGGTGGATCTGCTTGCAGAGTTCAACATTTATTCCTTTTCTAACATAAAAGATTTAGTAGACTTTGAAGGTCCGGAGTTAAACCCCCAAATCCAATTCAAATTAAGCCTTGTGTGACCCCACCTTGTGAGAAACCCAAAGCCTACCTCCACTCCCAAAATTATTCCCAAAATTCCTATAGCGGAGAAGGTTGACATGATTCCTAGTGATGATATTATTTCCACAAAAGAGGGTGAACGAAGAAGAAACTTGATTAGGTGAAGAGGTGAACCCAAAGTCAGAGGATACGTGGTCAGAGTGCAAGGAGCTACAACAGATAAACCCATATGGACTCTCTGGATTAAGATGGCTATCTGAACTTAACTACTATGAATGATGAAAAACCTAATAAGCTAAGTACCACTTAATATTTATCTTATCGTTCAATTCCGCATAAGATCTTACTTATTATTGCCTCTAAATCTAAGCGTGCAAACTTCATTAGGCAAATCATTTTCGCATGGATATGGTATCACATCATTCTCTCTTGTCCCAATCGGCCTTCTGAAAATTTATCTTGAAACCTAAATCTGTTAAAACTCTCCCCGTCAACAAAAAAGCAGACGTGGAGAGGCTGATGTGCGAATTTTCGGAGCCCACTGAGACCTCTACATTCATCATTTTGCTTCCACAAGAAACTTCTTATACAATTCATTATCTTGAACAAAGAGAGGGATAAAGGAACAAAAAATAAGACAGTTAATCAAAACAATCCTTCCACCTTTAGAAAGGAATTTATTTTTCCATGAAGTAAATTTTCTGTAGATTTTGTCAACAGTAGGAGTACAAAGATTTTTTGTATCACTTTAGAACCCAAGCTGGCGAAAAATTTAAGAGAATAAAAGTACTTGTGATAGGCCTTTTATTATGGAAACCATATCATTATAGAGGTCCTTTATAAGGAACCTTTATCACGATTGCTTGACTATAATACCTAACTACTTCAGAGTGTATCTCGAGTGGTGCACTCTCTAGTTCCGCCTGAACCACCACCATGTATGCCACCTTCCAGCTGTTCAGACTAGAATTTATTTCGGCTAGAGTTAAATGATGTTGGATCATCATAGTCAAATGAATCTCAGTCATTGACTTTGTCTTGTGATTTTTTAAGTTTTTATGGATATTTTAAATATGTTTCTTGTGTTTTTTTTTTTTAATTATTTTTTTTTTAAATATGTTTCTTGTGTTAAATGTGCAATAAGGACGCATTTTATTTGTTTCATTTTAGCTCAAATCTTTTTTAATTTATATTGAGGATCTATTTTACACAAAGGATAGGCAAAAACTATAAGAACCATTAATAATTGAATACTGATTGAATTTGAACTGCACGCAAACAACCATTTCACTGGACATGAATTGTTCGTGGATGATGATCTTTTTTCAATCCCATGTGTGGCATACCTTAGGGGATAGTTTCTCCAATGTGTTGGGCTGTTAACCTTTTTTGGAGACGAAACATAGTGCAAGACAGCACATAACATAGCAAGAAAAAATTAAATACTGAGTTTTGAGGCATTTTAGTCAGTATTCTCAATGCTCATTTGATGCCGTTCCTATGTCCTTTTCTGGTATTTATGTCACTTTGGTAGACTTTAAAGGCATTTTTGAAAGGCTGTGTTTCTTCAGGGTTAGTTGATTTTTTTTGTTCTGCTCAAACTTAACTTTATTTAAATCAAGTCAAAGTCAAATTCAGTTTCTAATGGTTTGGGCTGAAGTTGAATTATTATAAAATCAACCCTGCAAGAAATTGTTATATGGATATAGTTAACAAGAGGTTGAATAAATGGTCGACCTAACGAAGATAGATTTAAAAGTAATCAATTGGTCAATTGGAGGCAAATATCTACCGGAAGCCTTTGGAAAAGCAAACCGATCAACATAGATGAGGTTTTCTTAGCGAAGATTAGGCAGATAACAATTAATCTAGTATTGGTTTGCTACCATCTTTCTGTCATTTGAGGAACGTGATGAACAAGATTATCTGAGCGGATTTGACTAGAGAGAGATGTTTACATTGAGTATCCCAACTCATAAATTAAGAAAATAAAAATTCTATAAAATAGAAACATAAGGTCTTATTCTGTGAAAGCTGTATTTTCTATGTAATCTATCATTGTTCTTTTTGTTGTTAATAAAACGGAAAGGCAACTGAATCTATAATGACCTGTTTGGAGACGCTGCAGTTAATTTTATAACAAATGTAAACCTTCTCTGTGTACATTTAAGTAACTTAGGAAATATCTGGTGATGTTCTTTAATTTTCTTCTGTATATTTATTTTTGTTTTTTTCTCTATTTTGAAATGGGTTAAATTTCAAAATAGTTATCCGACTATTCATATATAATTATTTTAGTCCCAAAGCCTAAGGTTGCTCTAATTTAGTCTTTCAACTATACAAAATTGATTCAAAATGGCCCATTTCGGACTAAATTGGGATCAATTTTGTAAAGTTAAGGGGGACAAAATTAGGATCAATTTTACATCATAATTACAATATGAGGGACTATTTGGTTAAATTTCTATAGTCAAGGAACTAAATTAGGGCAACATGATATTCTAAGACTAAATTGGTCATACACGAATAATTTTGAAATCAAGCAGCCAGGGGGTAAACTATTTGACATTTGCAGCAGGATATTATTTTTGAAGTTTATGTACTAGGATATAAACATAATCTAAAAGGTTATCCAATGTTCCAACTAATCTTATTAATTCCTCTGCAATAGCTGCATCCTTTGTAAATTTTTCATTCCATACAGATGGTACTTTTAAATGATGATGACTAGGCTGGTTTATCCCATGTGTCATCATGATTATATTTAATGAGTAATCTTTTGTCTAGCAGGATTGGCAATCTAGTCCGTGCAACAATTACTCGACTTCTTTATGCGTCATGCCCAACTGGTCCATCAAGATGGTTGTCAATACTACATAAAATGGTATCACGTTTGTTTTTGAAATGTTTTTTTATACCATTCTTGTTTGTTCATGCTTTTGTTGTCTATTTCAGATATTATACTATCCTTACTGCTTTAAGCTTAGGCAGATTTAATTACAAGCGAGATTCCTCAAATTGGTGCCTACTCAGTTCTCTTTCAGTATTGTTTATGTTAAAAACTTCTTAGAAATCAAGTACAATTTTCTATTAAAAAAATATGGGTTTAAGAAATGTGGGCTCCGAAAATTTGGCCCTGGCCTCCTCCGCTTGCATTTCTTCAGGGGGAGTTTTAACGGATTAAGTTCAGGGTAAATTTTGGAAGGTAGATGAGTTTGTAGATAAGATACTACCTAGAGATTTCGCCCTCATTTTGTGAGGACTTTATGATCTGAGTTCTGGTTTCCTATAGGCGTAAGCACCTATAGTTAATTACCCCTCCCGATAACGAGAGAGAACTTTCGATTAAGGTTAGCCATCACTGAATACGTCATATCTGTAGATACGCGGTATCCGGCATATAGTAGCAGCATGGGCACTTGAAATTTGAAAGGTGTTTGAAGAGTGGATATTTAAAATTTAAAATTTCACCATCTTATAATTAAAGCGGATGGCGGGGGGAATGATGATGGACCCGATCAAGATTTGTTCATCTAGTGATATTCTTGATCGGACATTAGCTCTTTGTGAGATGAAGTAGCTTTAAGATTTGTCTTCCTTGCAAACCGTTGCATAGGGTGGATGGATTTTGCTTTTAAGTGGTTGGATAGTTAATTTCAATTTTAAACATCTTTGGATTTTTGGGATTTTGAATTTTCGGGTATTTGGGATGACATTTTTGAAATATTTGGAATGGACCCCTCCGGTTGAGATCTGCATTCAACATGGTCATCATCGGGGTATTTGTGGTCATTTCCATTTGGATGGAATCTTGTCAATTCTGTCGAGCTATCGACAAATGATTGAGTTTCGTGGGTTTTATGTCTTTGTTGATGAATTTATTTGTTCATAAGCCTTGAAGGTCTTATATGAACATATAAAACAGACATTCTGGTTGACACCCTGACCACATATCTATTCGATAGTTTGAACCATGTCAAGTCCTATCTATTCATATAGAAGGATCGGGCTCAAACTATGTTTATTTATTGACCAACGTAGCATTCCTAGACGTCACGTGTGTATCCAAGACATGCTCGACGGGGCCCATGCAGGTCTTGTGATTGCATTTACCCCTTTTGTATACATGTGTATATAAATTACGGTGCATGTGCGGAGGGATTTTTTGTAATATTTTGACGCCGATCAGTTATGCGGGTGACCGCCATTTGAATGCAGCGTTTCATTTGGATGCTCGTACATGCATTCCGTCCGCTTGTAAGGATGTTGTGAATTTTGGTGTAGTGGCATCGTGCTTTTGTTGCCCGCGATCTATTACTACTAGTCCTCTGCTTCTGCTTACAGGTGAATTGTAGTGTTGTCACATGATTTTCGCGAGATACCTCACTGTTCTGATATAGACTCCCTTTTCTTATTCACCAGGATGTCTTTTTAGGGCTCGTATAGGAATCTTATGCCATCATCATCATTTTTTGTTGTTGGCTTAAATAAAGAATCAATCATTTCAATCTTGGATGAGTGTGTCCTTACTGATGCCTTATACCTTAAAATAAGTGATTGCTGCCTTGAAAAAAAAACTCCTTTCAAGATCTACAGTGTAGTAGACCTCTACAAGATGTTACATCCGTAACCAAATAATTTGCCTTCAAAATGAATAGAGGTATATGGGCGCACTTGTCATTTTTGATGTTCGTGGATGTCAGAATTATTTTCTTCCCAAGTATAGGTCAAAGGAAGAAATTTTGGAACACCAGGAAGTTTAGTTTGAATTTTCTCAAACATCTCTTCCACTTTTATAGGAGGTATCCTTCTTATGAGAGGATTTTGTCCAAAAGGTCAACTGGTATTCGTACTTGCCAAGTGCCATTGTACACATTTGTGTCCATAGGGGTTCTCCACAATCATAACGTACCCGCTATTGTTATCCACAATTGGACCATGTTTCTTTACTGAGACCAGTCATATTTGGTATGATCTCTTGCAAGTGTTCGTAGAAGAGGCATTATTCTTGCATCATATCCACCTTTCACCAATCTCAGGTGAGCTTTGTGTACTTATTTGCAGTGATGGATCTTCCACTATTGATTGCCAGTGTTATCGTCTCAATATACAAGCGTCGTTGCTTGTGTTGGGGATTTCATTAGTACGTGTGGTAGTTACCCATGAGCTTTGTAACTTCTATTGTTGTTTGCAAGTGCAGTATATTTGACCTTGTAGGGATTGTTGTAGGAGTCCATTTCATTCATCAGCATGATGACACCGATGGTTCTAGGTTGTTGATTGTAGGCACACATCTCCAATAGTTATTAATAGGTGTCATATGTAATTGTGTTCATAGGGGATTTGTTGTACTCGTGGTATGCCCACTGTTGTTATCCACAAGTGTCATATCAACTGTACGTGTTCATTTGCTCATTGTTATCGACTGCAGGAGTGATCTGGCACCTACTATGAGTTGCTTCAGTTTCGCCTGTAGTTGAATCATTAGAAATTTGACGGACTTCCTATAGTCCCTTGTAGGTGTTTGCATTTACCGTGAATTAACCATTCCTGTTTGAAGGGTATCGATGTACTTGCTAGATACTTGCTTGCAGATGATTATAACTTCTTCAGATGTATTAGATTGGCCATTCAGCACATGCTCGGTTATTATTGTTTGTATGGTTGAATGTACTTGTAGGGTTCTATCGTTGTTGGTTGTATGAATATCCCAATGTTTGTTGCATACTACATATACTTGCATCATAACTACCTTCACCATTCACCGGTGGGCTTTGTGCACTTCTCGCAGCATTAGTTACATACAGGTTGTTGATATTGACTTTAAGGCATTATTGTACTTGGTCCCTATTGTATGTTTCTTAATTGACCGATGTCGATTCCAAGTCAATCACATCTGAAGGTTCTCCACCACGAGTCCCTTCTTTGTTCATTGTATTCATTTGAATGCATCATGTTATTATTTGGCATTTGAATTTTGATCTTGATTGTGTATTTTAGAATTTAGGGTTCAATTTCTTGTAGTTCAGTTCAAATCATGTTCCCCATTGTTTGTACAAGTCTTCTGCACATTTGGTTCAAGTTCTATGCATTCATGTTCAAGTACATGTCCTTTGTATTGTTGCTCAAGTTAAGCCTTCTTTATTGTTCAGGTATTGTGCACTTCGGTGTAAATTTCAGCAGCATCCCGGCATATCCCCCATTTTGGGGAAATGTAAGTGATGTGAAACATAAATGCCATGTACTTGTCTAGGTGGCAATATTAATTAAATCCCAATCAATTTGGGGAGAGAGAATGAAAATCTGAAATTAAATTTCAGATGAAGTGGAATTGGCCGGATGAATTTGAATTTAAACTCAAATTTAATGGGGAGAATTAAATTGGATGAGAGGGAATTGTGGGAGGTAATTATGGAGGCTTAATAAGGGGGCCTATTAATGAGATAGGAGAGAGATGGAAATTTTAAGTATGTGAGGATCACAATTAATTAATCAAAATCTGAAATTTAGATTTCAGATTTTAATTATATCATGTAACTCCCTTCTTTAAAGAAAATTTGGAGGGAATTTGAAATTTCAAAAAGATTGTAACTCCCTGTAATTAATATCCTAATTTAATTTGACTTAATTAGGAAATTCATTAGGGGAGGAGAATTCAAAATTCGAATAGGTGGGCTAGAGGGAAACCGGCGGCAAGGCTTCACGGGTGGCCGGCGGCAAGGACTCCACGGTGGCCGCTGGGCGGTTTTCTGGCCGGCGGGAGGGCTTTGCAGGCCGGCGGGATGGGGTGCTGGGTTGGTCGGCGGGAGGCTGGCCGGCGGTTGGCTAGGGGAAAGGGGTGGCGGCAAGGATCCAAGGAGGGGGGAAAAGGGCAATTCTACTAGGGATTACTATGCCACATATTCACCTTGATTTCCCATACCAATTGATCACAAAGATAATGGAGAAGAAGGTCTAGAACTCACAAAGAGATCTAGCTCTTCTCAAAACTCACTAATAGATTTGAGAGAGAGATGCACTCACAAAGAGAACACAAAGTAGAGAACTCACTAAGAGATCTCAAAAGAAAAAGAACTCACTAAGAGATCTAAAAGATGGAACTCACAAAGAGAACGCAAAAAGCAAATTTTCATTAACCATTCATCATCCCATTACATAAGAAAGGGCCTCTATATATAGGCGTAAGAAACTAAAACAAGACACATATGTCCCTAAGGCTTACATAGGACGACCCTCTAAAGTGAGGGTAAAAATGGAAAATTCATAATAAAAAATTTAAAAATTACAAATAAAATATAAGATAACGTGGGACGATGACAGTCGTTGATCTTAAGCTCCTCGGATAGACATGGACGGTTGGATGTCCGCATCAGTAAGGGAGCTGAGCCTTCCCACCACGCTACAAGAGCGTGTATGATCAAGACCTACAACACCTACTTTGAAATTTTTATTATTCAGACAAGGTTGGTAGGTTATAAAGATGTTACAGAGTTTATCATATGGCCAATAACAGCTAAGTCTATTACTCAAGTATTAGATAATCTATTTGAGGAACTAAAACATGGATTATAAGTTTTATCATATTGAGCTACTTGAGCATGACCCATATGTTTTTCAGGAGAGTTAAAGAATTTTTTTTAACATGTCAATTTCTTATATGTTGAACTCTCTAAACTTAGTGAAATGAGCCTATACTTTTGATTGATTTTCTTTGTAGCTCCTGACATGGCATGCTTTTAAATCTCAAAGCACATGTAAATAATTCAAATTTGTGATGTTTTTCACACTTCCTTCATGTTATGTATATTTTTAAACACAGATAAAAGATTAAAGTGGTTAATGAATAGTTTTACTACTAAACACCTCATTAATTTGCTGATAATT